AAAAAAAAAAACAAAAAAAAAAAGGGAAGATATACATTCATATATACACACATGTATCTACATTTTAATCATTCTAGAATGTAGCTTGTTCTGAATAGTTTTTTCCCATTACTTTTTGTTTTGTCTACTTTCTTGTTAGCTTCCTTATTTGTGGTTCTACTTAATTAAACAAATTGTTTTTTCTCTATCACTATCAATCATCAAAACTAAAAAATAGAAAAAGAACATCATCAATGTTTCTGCAGTTTCTTCTCACCCTCTCATTTAAATGAGAAGAACATTTCTAGCATTTTAAAAGCTTTGTTAATGTGATATATAGAACAGTGGCAGAAGGAGAAGTGTTTTCATTGTCATTAAGTTTTGATATCAGGCTGCCATGTTTTCACAAGTTATCAACAAATTCTCCGCGTATTTTCAACAACAACAATTACGATAGAAGAAAAAAATTTTTGATCAAAAAATGAAGAGGACTAAATTATGATATACAGATCAGCAGCATTATATCTAGAATAATATAGGTTGTTTTCAGCAAAATTGCTTTGAAGAAAGATCACACGTCATCCTTTTTCCTTCCTCAAAAAGAAAAAAGACGAAAGAAAGAACGATATGATGAGACTTGATAATTGAATCGGTTGCTGCTTTAAGATGAAAACTGTCGTAAACAGGGCTTTAAAAACACAACCGATATTTGTTGTGTCTGTCCAGTCAAAAAAGCAACCTCTCAAAGTTGTCTACAAATAAAAAAAAAAGTAACCTTAAAAACTTAAGTTTTTTTTTGGCTTTTTCCAGCTCTTAAAATTATTTACTGAAAGAAAGAAAGAATGCGTATTTATTTTTTTTTTTCATTTTTTGACAACAAATGTAACAGATATGTTAAAGTTTAGAAATGAACAAACGAATGGTTATGGATAAAACTAAGTAATTATCAAAGCTTCAGTTTGGTTTCAGCACGCTCATTTTCAGTTAGTTTGTTGTTGCTAAATAACTGCTAAATATGGCTATGTCACCAAAAAACTGCAAAAAACTGCAGTCTAACAGCTATTGAAAGAGGCGAAAAAAAAAAAACCTCTTTTTCAGTTATAGTTGTGATTTTAAAACATTAGAAAAATAAACGATAAAAAGAATCATTTAAAAATTGCAGTTTCTTAACTGCGGTTTTTTACATTGGTAATTCCTTTTCTTCTACTTTTTTTAAATTGGTTAGCAAAAAAGACGTCTGTGTAATTTTTTTCCTGTTTTTGTTTCATACCAATTTTAAAAATTATAACTGCATAAGCAATTCATTTTGAAACAGCCAAAAACACTGTTCTACTTTTTGTCACTTTTCTTTATAACAACTACCCAGTATGAGAACATCAGTACATTTGACCACTGTCAAACAATTTCTTCTACCCAAACTTCCTGTCTTAAAACCGCTGTACTCGAGTAAAAGAGGGTAAATCGATCAGATATTTTAAAAAACAAAAAATTTTTTTTATTCTTTTTTT